GTTTGCCTGTGTGCATGTGTATATATCTAAATATCTATATCTATATCTATATATATATATATCTAGTTGGCCCCCTTTCGATGACAGGAATGCTCGGTGCATAAACATCAGCTGAAAGTCATTGGCCTACTAAATTTACACTCTATGGGAATGGAGCAATAAATTTTGAGAGAAAAGTGACACGCACTTTTCCAAGTTGCCAAATATATAAAAGACTAGTTGGGCCCCCTTTCGACGAAAGGAATCATCGATGCATTAACATCAACTGAAAGCCATTGGCCTACTATATTTACAATCTACTGGAATGGAGCAATAAATCCTGAGATATGCAAAAATTGGAATGTTTAGATATAGTGATGTATAGATTGATTCTCTATTCCTCTTTCGTTGTTCTACACTCCGGAATTTCAAATCTGTGGAAACAATGCGCACGGCTATTGAACGGAAACCTCACTTTTTACAATTGCGTTTTAGAAGACAGACTTTCCCAAGATTAGATCTAAACGAAACTAATGAAAAACTGAAAATTAAACAACAGTGACTTTAGGCTCCTCAATAGAACTGTGCACCCGTTAAATGATTCTGAACCACCCTTAATTTGGTCAAATTCGAAAGTTAAGTGGTTCCGAAGTTTTAGGCGCCAAAGTGACGAACTTTCACAATTATAATATGTATAGATGTAGGCCTATAGATTGATTCTCTATACGCTTTTGTGCTTGTACACTCCATAATTTCAAAGGTGTTAAATAAGTGAGAACGGCCAGTGAACGGAAACCGCATTTGTTTACAATGGCGTCTTAGAAGACGGACTTTCCCAAGATTAGATCTAAACGAAACTAATGAAAAACTGAAAATTAAGCTACAGTGACATCAGGCTCCTCAATGAAACTGTGCAGCCTTTATATGATTCTGAACCTGCATTAATTTGGTTAAATTCGAAAGTTAAGTGGTTCGGATAGCTGGGTTTCCCGTTCGACGAACGGACTCAAAAGAATGCATCATCAAGGGATCAGTGCACGCACTGTTTGTGAACAGAAGCCTCACATGTTTACAATGGCGTCTTAAAAGACAAACTTTCCCAAGATTAGATCTAAACGACTGAACCACCTCTAATTTTTTCAAATTCGAAAGTTAAGTGGTTGGGAAGTTTTAGGCGGCCAAAGTGACGGACTTTCACAAATATAATATGTGTTATATATATATATATATATATATATATATATATATATATATATAAAATATATATATAATATATATATGTATTATATATATATATATATATATATATATATATATAATATATATATATATATACATATTATGTGTTTGTGTGTGTGTGTGTGCGCGTGTGTAAGAGTGTGTGTGTGTGTGTGTGTGTGTGTGTGTGTGTGTGTGTGTGTGTATGTGTGTGTGTGTGTGTGTGTGTGTGTGTGTGTGTGTATGCGGAGTTCTGTTACGTGTTTCTGTTATAGTATAGTTAACCACTGAAACATTTACGTTCGCGAGCACGTCGTCTCTGAGACAACAGCTATAGCAATAACAACAACAACAACAACGACAACAACAATAACAACAACGACGACGTAATAATAACAACAACAACTACAGCAACAACAACAACTACAACAACAACAACTACAGCAACAGCAACAACAACAACAAACAACAACAACAGCAACAACAACAGCAACAACAACAACAGCGACAACTAACAAAAACGATAGCAACAACTACAACCACAAGAAAAACAACTACAGCACACAACTACGCCACATCTACGACCCTCACCCTCACCATCTCACCACTTCACCACCATCACCAACGACAACGACTACTACACCACCACCATTACCATGAACATAGATCTAAATAATGAAAAAACAAGCCATGTCTTTCGGGGATCATCATCATTCGGTGCCTTACCGACTGGCGTGGTCGATCATGGACCTCCACTTCACCCTGTCTTGCGTTGCAGCGATGATGTCTGTCTGTTGTTCTTGTTGTTCCCAACCATGTTGTCAACTTGTCCAGTATCTTTTCCTTCTGTCTGCCTCTGCTTCTCTTTCCGTCAAACTTGCCTGTTGTTACAATATTATTATTATCCAATGGTTCTTTCCGCATTGTGTGTCCAATGAAATTTGCCTGTCGCTTTCGTATATTCGTCATAAGCCGTCGTCAGCAATTTGCTTCAACCAAGACATCTTCATTTATTTTTCTAGTTTTCGGAGACCATCATCATCCGGTGCCTTTGTTGACTGGCGTGGACGACCATGGACCTCCACTTCACCCTGTTTTGCGTACCGGCGATGGTGTCTGTTGTTCTTGCTGTTCCCAGCCGTGTTGTCAACTTGTCTCTTTACTCTTTCCGTCAAACTTGCCTGTTGTTACAATATTCTTCAATGCTTTTTTCCGCATTGCGTGTCCAATGAAATTTGCCTGTCGCCTTTACTGCGATACCGACATAATGTAGACCATTAATTAGAAGGCAGGTTGTTTCAACCGTGATTATCTAACTACCTTGTAGCTAGGTTATTTTCTTTCTATCCACTTAACCAACTAATCACTGACCGGCCGACCGACCGACCAATCGACCTACCGTCATACCGACCGACCAACCGACCGACCGACCGACCGACAGACAGACAGACAGACAGACAGACAGACAGACAGACAGACAGACAGACAGACAGACCGACCGACCGACCGACCGACCGACCGACCGACCGACCGACCGACCGACCGACCGACCGACCGACCGACCGACAGACAGACAGACAGACAGACAGACAGACAGACAGACAGACAGACAGACAGACAGACAGACAGACAGACAGAGGTATTTTATTAGAAAAACTTCACTTATTCGTCATAAGCTGCTATTTGCTTCAACCAAGACTTCTTCATTTGTTTTTCTAGCTTTCGGGGACATCTCCAGCTAAAGGGGGCACAACCTCCCGGCGACAAGATAGAGATACTCGATAAATAAAAGCAACAACTTTCTCACTCAGGAATCAAACCCACGTCTTCTGCGTACAAAAGCTAGACAAGAGCCTTACTGCTACACCATAGACACCGGTGAATCCCATCTCAGGGACTGCTTATATACATGTATATTTTTTTAATTTCAGAAGGAGCCTGGTCTAAGAGTGGACAATGTGACGTCATGTGTGGAAATCCGCTCGGATTTGTTCAGGTCAGAGTCTGAGGCTTCAGCAAAAGCGGACGTGTATGGAGGAAGGAGAAGTACTTCTAGGCCCAGGAACACATATTATGTTCGCAATGAACAAAACACAGGTGTTCAAAATGAACCGAATACAGAATATGTTCACAAGGAACAAGACAGCCACAATGAACAAGAGACATATGTTCACAATGAGCTGGACACATATGTTCGTAATGAACAAGCGACATATGTTCACAGTGAACAAGACACTGACGTTTACAATGAACAAGACACATATTATGTTCACAAAGATGAAGACAACCAAAATATACACACTGAGTGTAACAGCAACGACGATGGTACAGTTATTCACAATGATAAAAAACTACACAATGTTCACAAAAATCAACACAGAGATGCCCACGAAGGACGGACTAGTCCTAGATCAAGCTACGATGACACAGACGCTCTTCTTAATGAACGAAACAACAGCAGTGAGACAGGTGCTTCCAAAGGTCAAGACATAGATGTTTACAGTGAACAATACAGCTACGAAATCCACAATGATCGTGACTCAGACAACTCAGCTGAGTACAACACCAGAAGCCCCTCTCCCCTGGTTTTGGGCAGACCCGTAGGTTGTTACGGAAAGGGGGAAGATTCTAGAGTAGATGAAGACGCGTGTTGCCATGGTCACGTAGAAAATGGAGCTGAGTATGTGGTGGAGGAGACCAAAAATGAGGTGAATGACAGTGGAGAGGAAGAAGAGGGCGAGGAAGAGAAAGCTTACAAGGAAGGGTGGGAAGAAGGAAATCAGGAGAGGAATGAACTTCGTTGGAATAAGAATGAGGAAGAGGACATACAACGAGATGGTTTTGCAGAAGCCGAAGAGGTTGAAGAAAGGAAAGGGGAGGGACAGAGCGGTGAAGAAGAAACAGAAATAGAAAAGACAGCCTGGGAGGACCCAACAGGGAAAGAGGAGGAGGAAGAAGAAGAAGAAAAAGAGGAGGCTGGACACAAAAGAGAGACATACCAAACAAGCGAAGAGGAAAGAAGAAGAAAGAAAACGAAGGGAGAAAAAGAAGAAACAGAAAAAGACAATGAAGAAGAAGACAAGAAAGAAGAGCAAGATGATAAAGGAAAAGAAGAAAAAGAATCCGAGGAGACGGAAGAAGAAGAAGTAGTAGACAGGGAAAAAGAGGGACGAGAAGAAGACGGGGAAGGTTCTCAAGGAGAGAGAGAAGGCATAGAGGAGGAGGAGGAGGTGGTGGAGGAGGTGGTGG